TGGCTCACGCCTGTAATCCCAGCACTTTGGGAGGCCGAGGCGGGCGGATCACAAGGTCAGGAGATCGAGACCATCCTGGCTAACACTGTGAAACCCCGTATCTACTAAAAATGCAAAAAATTAGCCGGGCGAGGCGGCGGGCGCCTGTAGTCCCAGCTACTCGGGAGGCTGAGGCAGGAGAATGGCGTGAACCCGGGAGGCGGAGCTTGCAGTGAGCCGAGATCGCGCCACTGCACTCCAGCCTGGGCGACTAAGCCAGACTCTGTCTCAAAAAAAAAAAAAAAAAAAAAAAAAGTCTCTGATTTCCAACCCAATGCTCTTTTTACATTTCAACATGCTGGCAATATGAACTAGAAGTAAGATTTTGTAAGATTTTAAAAGAATAGTGATTTAGATAAGTACTGAAAAAAAAAAAAAAAGATTTCAGGCTTCCTGTGATGACAGAAAAACAAAACTTAACTCACACTTCTTATTTTCTAATACTTCCTCAGGTAATTAAAGAGCTTTCCACACATTAAATGCCCTTTGGGGAAAAAAATCCCTTTATTCACCACTTAATTGTAATCATTCCCATATTATAGGGCTGAATTTAATCTTAGAACTCAAATTGAGAGAAAATACAGCCAAGTTTATCTGGTACAATACATTGCAAATGACCTTTGAAACCAAGTGTTTTAGCCTAGTTAAAATTATGGAACTGTCAGGAAGGAAATGTGTGAAAATGTAATCCTTTATCACTGACAATACTGCAACTTCCTCATCTTCACCACAAAGAAACAAACATAATTCAGCCTCCAGCAGTTCTGCATTGTTAGATGAGTCTGCATTTTTTGTTTAAAGTACCTTGGGCTTAACAGGCCTTGCTGCTGTGTTCATGTTCTTAACATGTTCAAAAATGACTACTTCCATGATTTTAGCAGTTCATATACACCTAATTTTTTAAAGTCTTTCTTTATCTTGAATAAGAATATAATTATACAACCCATACAACACCACTGTGGAAGGAGTTAGTAAATCAGACACATTAATCAATTTTGAATTTTTCTTATGCCCTGTGAATAGACCCAAAGCCTAATAACATATTGAGCCAACTCAGTACACAGAATATACAAAATTATAAGATAAAAAAATATTGAAAAGAAATTGACATTTGCAATAGACAAGCTCCAAAGAAGGCAACCTAAGAAAATAAAGTATGAACACCGTAACCTGAAAAACAACAGTGTTAAAAGTGTTTTTTCTAAAACACTTGAATAGATTTTTTTTTAATCAAGTGTCAACTGACACTTGGCGTTAAGGTAAACCCCCTTAATTTTTAAGAGACAGATAGTAGCAAAAAAAATGTACTGTATATTAATATGGAAGAACAATGTAGCCCTTTACAACAGAAAACAAAATGTGGACTAATGATTGATTACACTATTTACCAGTCCATATCCAATATAACCATAACAAAAAATAAAACAAAAACAGACATAAGCCAAAATATCAAACATATAAAACATGGTACTCAAAGTGATTCAATGTTAACAAGTTAAGATTGTCCAGCCTTAAGTGAAGAAAAGCTAAGCACTTTTGCCTCTGACTTCACTGTACAAGGTGAAAAGAAACCAGATCAAAAGATGGGATGCATAGGCCAGACATGGAGTTCTCATGCCTGTATCCAACCCTGGGAGGCTAAGGCAGGAAAATCGCTTGAACCCAGGAGTTCAGAGACCAGCCTGGGCAACATAGCAAGACCCTGCTTCTATATAACATTTTAAAATTAGGGCCGGGCGCGGTGGCTCACACCTGTAATCCCAGCACTTTGGGAGGCCCAGGCAAGTGGATCACGAGTTCAGGAGATCGAGACCATCCTGGCCATCATGGTGAAATCCAACCTCTACTAAAAATACAAAAATTAGCCAGGCATGGTGGTGTGTGCCTGTAATCTCAGCTACTCGGGACGCTGACGCCAAGAGAATTGCTTGAACCTGGGAGGTGGAGGTTACAGTGAGCTGAGATCACGCCACTGTGCTCCCACCTGGGCGACAGAGCGAGACTCCATCTCAAAGAAAAAAAAAGAAAAAACTTAAAAAATTAGGCTGGGTACAGTGGCTCACACCTGTAATCCCAGCACTTTGGGAGGCCAAGGCGGACAGATCACTTGAGGCCAGGACTTCACAACCAGCCTGGGCAACATGGCAAAATCCAGTCTCTACTAAAAATACAAAAATTAGGTCGGGGCGGTGGTTCACACCTGTAATCCCAGCACTTTGGGAGGCCGAGGCGGGTGGATCACCTGAGGTCGGGAGTTCGAGACCAGCCTGACCAACATGGAAAAACTCTGTCTCTACTAAAAAATACAAAATTAGCCGGGCGTGGTGGCGCATGCCTATAATCCCAGCTACTCAGGAAGCTGAGACGGGAGAATCGCTTGAACCCAGGGGGTGGAGGTTGCGGTGAGCTAAGATCTTGCCATAGCACTCCAGCCTAGGCAACAAGAGCGAAACTCCATCTCAAAAAAAAAAAAAAAATTAGAGGGGCATGGTGTCACATGTCTGTAATCCCAGCTACTCGGAGGCTACGGCACAAGAATCATGCTTGAACCCAGCTTGAATCACACTGTAATCCCAGCTACTAGGAGGCAGAGGTTGCAGTGAGCCAAGGCTGAGCTACCATATAATAGAGCAGGATTCTGTCTCAAAAAAATATATATTAAACAGACCTAGGCCTGGTGACATGTGCCTGTGGCCCCAGCTATTTGGGAGGCTGGGTTGGGAGGATCACTTGAGCCCAGAAGACTGCAGTAAGTCGTGTCCAGGCCACTGCACTCCAGACTAGGTGACAGAGCAAGACATCTTCTCCAAAAAATAAAATGAGATCTACAAATGCTACTAATTGTCAGATCTGTTATTTTCTTCCAGTCCAACTAATTCATTTATTGTCCCTACTCTCCAAATAATTTACGCTTAAATTAATATAGTCTGCAGATGTAACAACAGGGACTTTGCCTGTGTTTTTTACTGTTACTGCTTATTTGGATTTTTTGAGATAGTCTCATTCTGTCACCCAGGCTAGAGTGCAGTGGCATGATCTCGGCTCACTGCAACTTCTGCCTCCCAGGTTCAAGCGATTCTCCTGCCTCAGCCTCCCAAATAGCTGGGATTACAGGCACCCGCCACCACGCCTGGCTAATTTTTGTATTTTTAGTCAAGATGGGGTTTTGCCATGTTGGCCAGGCTGGTCTTGAAGTCCTGATCTCAAGTGATCTGCCTGCCTTGGCTTCCCAAAGTCCTGGGATTATAGGCATAAACCACCGCACTAGGCCCTTATTTTCTTTTTAAAGTAATGTTCACAGAGTCCATAACTGGAATTGCTGCCTTTTTTTTTTTTTTTTTTTTTTTTTTGCATAAGGGGGGTGCTTTCCACTAGAAAGTGAAAAAAATGATATACAAACTCTCAAAGTGCTGTTAATACTTGCATCCTTTTTTAAAAGTTTTTTCTACAGAAAACTTGAAAAGTACAGGAAAGTACAAGAAAAATCATTTCTAGTTTCACTATCTACACTTTCATAAGTGTGAATATCCTTTATTTCTTTTCTGTTTTTTTTTTTTTTGGTTTTTGGTTTGTTTTTTTTTTTTTTTGAGATAGTCTCACAGTGTCACCCAGATTGGAGTGCAGTGGCCAGATCTTGGCTCACTGCAACCTCCACCTCCGGGTTCAAGTAATTCTCCTGCCTCAGCCTCCCAAGTAGCTGGGATTACAGGCGCATGCCACCACGCCCAGCTAATTCTTGTATTTTTAGTAGAGACAGGTTTTCACCTTGTTGTCCAGGCTGGTCTCGAACTCCTGACCTCAGGTGATCCACCTGTATGGGCCTCCCAAAGTGCTGGGATTACAGGCATGAGCCACCGTTCTGGGCCCTTTAAGTCATTTCTAAAAGAATTATGTTCACTTTTTGTTCCATGGTTTACAAAATTGCAATTACACTATTTTCTAAATGGTTTTCATATAAGAACAAGTATTTCCCACACCTTTAAATTGTATTTGGGCTGATTTTTAATACCTTTTTTGATTGAAATTCCGTCCTTAGCGTAAAAGGTTAAAAATTATGAATTAAGGCTGGGCGCGGGGGTTCACGCCTGTAATCCCAGCACTTTGGGAGGCCGAAGCCGGCGGATCACGAGGTCAGGAGTTCGAGACCAGCCTGGCCAACATGGTGAGACCCCCCCCGTCTCTACTAAAAATACAAAAATTAGCCAGGCGTGGTGGCGGGCACCTGTAATCCCAGATACTCGGGAGGCTGAGGCAGGAGAATCGCTTGAAACCGGAAGGCAGAGGTTGCAGTGAGCCGAGATCGCGCCACTGCACTCCAGCCTGGGCAACAAGAGCGAAACCCCGTCTCAAAAAAAAAAAAAAAAATTATGAATAAAAATAATACCCTCACCATCTCCATCTTCCGCTATATGACCTGAGCTCAGAAAACAATAGTAAACCATTCACATTGGGTGTGTGTGATAAATACCCCGAGAAGTGTGGGGCCCAATAAGATTCTAATCCTAAAAGATACGATGCGTTAATAGCGACATTTCAAGCACTATCCTGTAGACTGGAGGAGACAAATCTAAAATTCATAGTACTATAGTTAGCTATTCTAGCTACAAAAATGCCCCACTGTGTTTTTCAATAAAAGTAGAGCAGAACAGTACACATCTCATCACTCAACAAAATACCTTACTTGGCGCTCCCAATAGTGCTAAACATAACGCGTACAAGGCACTGCATGAGGCAGCTGCTAATGAGGACAAATCGGTTAGGAAGACCAAAGCTAAAGGAGGCCAGTGAGTTGGAGAAGGGTATGGAGAGGTATTTGATCATCATCAGGCTGGCGTGCCAGCGGAAGTAGCCGGGCATTGTTTAATATTTAATCTTTCTATTCCTGACATCACGGGGGCTCAAACGTCATCAAAAGACAGGCTGGCATTAAACCCGGCAGGGTGACGCACATAACATCTTACCATATGGATTTTCATCAGTCCAGACCGACCAGCACCTCAGAGCCTGCCCAGTGAAGGAAGGAGGGTGCCCCAGGCCGTCCGCTCTCCCACTGTTGGCGCGCAGCTCAGGGTTTGGAGGCTGCAAGACCACCGGACCGGATGCCCCAGGGGCCAGCTCGGGCCTCCGGGACTGTGGACTCGCGCACGGCCCGAGGAGGTCGCCCGTGCGGCCGCTGACGCCAGGCGTCAAGTCCCCGCCCGAGCAGCCCCAGCCTAGGAGGCGGACCACGCCACTGCTCCTCTACTGAGCCGAGGGTGTCGGCCAGGGACTCAGACAGTCGGCACAAACCCCCTCCCGGGGTCTAAGCCCGCCTAGTACAGTACCTGAAGGGGCAACGCCACCTCCGCCCAATTGTGCTGGCTGCCCCAGTGGCGGCGGTCACAGCTCGGGCGCCAATGACGCCTCTTATAAAAACAACAACCTGCTCGCAGGCGTCTGCAGCCCGCAGGCGGTGACCGGCTGGGCGCCGCAGTGCATGCCGTGACGCGTAGTCCCGCTTGCGCCTCCTGCCAGGCACCGGTGAAGAGAAGAACTACCACTCCCGAAGAGGAGCGCAGGGCGCCGCCGGGCGGCTGCAGGAAGCTGGGCCGGGCGGCCGCAGATCCCCACAACATCCGGGAGCCGGCGACCACTTCCAGTTGCTATGGATACGAGTTGCAACCTCCAGAAAGGATTCGTGGTTTCACCGGGAAAACAACTCCCCGGATTAAACGGATAGGTTTACACATACTGATCCACCCAGCTATTTATCTTCTATTTGCTGCTTTAATCGGGTGCGGTTAAAACGCCACGTCCCTAGGCGTTCACCGGCTTTCTTGCCATCTACTGCATGCAAACTGACTTTGCCGAAAAAATTAACAAAGAAAATAGCGAAAATGACAGACCGCGACTGGGTGAGTTTAGGCAGAGGGATAGATGTTTGGGAATGTTGGTATTCGTTGGTATAATTTGAGGCACCACCTACTCCTACCAATCCCAACCCCACAACCCCGAAAAACACTTTACAAGGCAGCTACTGAGCTTTTACATTTACACATGTAAATGTACGTTTCCTTAAATCCGAATAGCCTCTAAAGGTGTAAAGACCATCGGGATTGTATGCACTCATACCCTACTGCAAACTGTTAGTGATGGTTTTGAACAAGAAAAACGTACTTTGTTAATTGTATACTTAAATTGTACTTTGTCAAAGAAGGGAGTTGTTTTAAAAAAGGATATGGTGACCGGGCGCGGGGCTCACGCCTGCAATCCCAGTAATTTGGGAGGCCGAGGCGGGTGGATCACCTGAGGTCAGGAGTTCGAGACCAGCCGGACCTACATGATGAAACTCCGTCTCTACTAAATACAAAAAATTAGCCGGGAGAGATGGCGCGCGTCTATAATCCTAGCTACTTGGGAGGCTGAGGCAGGAGAATCGCTTGAACCTGGGAGGCAGAGGTTGCAGTGAGACGAGACTGCGCCACTGAACTGCAGCCAGGGCAACAAGAGCGAAAGATATCTTACATTTATATTCACTCTTTACAGAAGCAATGAAAAGTTTAGGTTTCATTCTCTGTCCCCTAATTGTGGTAAAAGTAAATCAATAAATGAAAAAATAAATAATAAACGTAAACATTAGCAAGGAAGATGGTGGGCCTGAGCAGAGACAAAAGAGTGCCTCAAAATTAGACCTTTTTTATTTTTGCTTTTCTATTAACTATATTTAACATCAACAGTGACATCAAAAAAATCTTAATTTTATAGTTACAGCTTCTGCGATGGGCATTATTAACTAATGACTTGTTTTCATTTATCTTTTTAAGTATATATTTATCTATACCGAAGGACTTCAAAAAGTCAAGGTGGTCTGGCTTTCTCTAACTTTAACTGAAAATTAAATTACTAAGAAAGCTAATACCAGCTACTGGTAGATTTTTATACCTTTCAAGCCACTTTCACAGGCCAATTTTAAGATGTAATTTCTTCTGTAAAATTATTTACAATTTTAACCTTTTTATCATTTAATAAAAGTTGTTGACATATGTGGCAGATAATTTAAACTCATCCTTTTATTATTCTTTGTATTGGCTGTTTGTTTCGTTCTTAATTGTAGTCAGTTTGAACTCCACATTTTAAGAATATCAGGTTTGAAGAAGGTGAAACCCAAATAAGAAAACTGCAGTGGTTGTCTATGATGTAAAGTATAAAGCAATGGGCCTTTTGTTTCAGAATCTATAAACATTTGTGAATTATCCTGGAAATCTAAAAAAATTTTAATTTAGGATTTAACTTTTCCAGATTTTGCGGTACTAATTATGCCAACAAAGTTTATCAGCTAATTTGTCTTCTGTTTTGACTAGATTTCATTTTCTGCATTATGTTTTGAGCCAAAGCTGATCGGAATTCTAGAACCAGTAGTTAAGGAAGGTCATTTGATGACAAAAAGAGTTCTCAGCTGGGCGCTGTGGCTCACGCCTATAATCCCAGCATTTAGGACCCAGTATTTTGGGAGGCCGATGCAGGTGAATCACCTGAGGTCAGGAGTTCGAGACCAGCCTGACCAACATGCAGAAACCCCATCTCTACTAAACATACAAAATTAGCTGGGTGTGGTGACGCATGCCTATAATCCCAGCTACCTGGGAGGCTGAGGCAAGAGAATCGCTTGAACCGGGGAGGTGGAGGTTGCAGTGAGCCAAGATCATGCCATTGCACTCCAGCCTAGGCAACAAGAGTGAAACTCCATCTCAAAAAAAAAAAAGAGTTCTCAGTGACTGAAGGAGATAGTATTAATAACAACAACAAATCTACAAGTTGCCCTGGGCAACCTGCTTAGGTGCCCATAAAAGTAAATTACAGTGGTACTTTTCCCCACAAGTCACAGGGCCGCCACCTTCTACCTATAAAGCTTTCCCCTGTGCTGAGGAAACGTAGAAAATTGGAGAAAAGCTGATCAGTTGAGATACCATCAAAATTTTATGATTCTTATGATTTACTATTATCCAGTATCTGTGTTGTTAATATTTAAAACAAATTAATAAGCAGTATCAAAAAGAATAAACAGCAAGATCTGATGAGAATAACATTGATGACACTTAGTGAACCTGAGTTCTATTTCCAGCTTTGCCAACTACAAACTTATGAGTATTAAGTGAATATTAGCAAACCATATTTGCTAATATAAGGTGTTATTAACCTGTAAATTTCAGAACTGATTCTGGAAGATCATATATTGAGGTAAACCTGCAAAAAAGAAAATAATAAAATCTGGTGAGGCCTGGTGGCTCATGACTGTAGTCGCAGCACTTTGGAAAGCCGAGGCAGGCAGATCATCTGAGGTCAGGAGTTCAAGAACAGCCTGACCAACATGGTGAAACCCCATTTCTACTAAAAACACAAAAATTAGCCAGGTGTGTTAGCAGGCACCTGTAGTCCCAGCTACTCTGGAGGCTGAGGCAGGGGAATCACTTGAACCTGGGACACAGAGGTTACAATGAGCTGAGACTACACCACTGCACTCCAGCCTAGACGACAGAGCAAAACTCCATCTCAAAACATAAAATAAAATAGTGATAAAAATTGATTTCATTTGGCCAGGCGCGGTGGCTCACACCTGTAATCCCAACATTTTGGGAAGCCGAGGCAGGTGGATCACTTGGTCAGGAGTCCAAGACCAGCCTGGCCATCATGGTGAAACCCCATCTCTACTAAAAATACAAAAATTAGGCTGGGAGGTAGTTCACACTTGTAATTCCAGCACTTTGGGAGGCTGAGGCGGGCGGATCACCTGAGGTTGGGAGTTCAAGACCAGCCTGACTAACATGGAAAAACCCCATCTCTACTAAAAATACAAAATTAGCTGGGCGTGGTGGTACATGCCTGTAATCCCAGCTACTTGGGAGGCTGAGGCAGGAGAATTGCTTGAACCCAGGAGGCGGAGGTTGCAGTGAGCCAAGATTGCACCATTGCAGTCCAGCCTGGATGACAGAGCGAGACTCCGTCTCAAAAAAGAAACACACAAAACAAAACAAACAAATCTGCTCCATCTCCATGCTACCACCTACTATATATTGTCATCATTACTCACTTGGACTATTGCAGCTCCTCACCACATTCACACAGGCCCTAACAACAGCCAAAGTAATTTTACTAGAATTATATTACATCATGTCACACCTCTCCTTAAAACCCTTCAATAGCTTTCCATTGCTTTTACAATAAAGGTTCAGATTTTAAACACAGTCAACAAAACCCTGAGAGATCTGACCCCTGGCTCTCTATTCTGAATAATCTCATGACATTTTCACCCTAATTTATTTGACTTGCCATACTTTGTCCCCACCTCTATCTTTTACTTCCTTGCTTTATAGTCAATCTTAGATTGAATGGTACTTCAGTGGCATGGCTTTCCCTAACCCCCAGCACTAGGTTAGAACCCCCATTGTGTCTTCATTAATATGTTGTATTTTTTTTTCTTCATAGCAGTTATCACAATTGTAATTATTCAGTTAGCTGTGTAATTAGTTGCTTAATGGCTGCCCACATACCCAGGCTAACCCTGGATGTTTATCTTGTTCCTTTTTCACTCTAAAATAAAGCTGTACTTCCTCTTCTAACTATGACTTTTCAGATTTTCCCTATGATTTACAGACTTTTCAATAAATTCTCATAGTTGTAGTACAGAATGTTTAAAAAGCTACCTTATGCATATTTTTGACAAGTTCACTCTGTGTACAGGTGTATGTGATTTTTTTTTTTTTTTTTTTTTTTTTTGGACGAGTCTCACGTGGCCCGCTGATCATCCCTCCCCCCCCCCCCCCCCCCCCCCCCCCCTCCCCCCCCCCCCCCCGGCTAATTTTTTGTATTTTTAAGACGGGTCAGTTCCATCTCCTGTACGCCGGTCCAAGTGGGTCAGCTAGGATGTATTTTAAGGGTAGTCTTCAATGTCAAGAGAAGAGACCACCAAACAGGCTTTGTGTGAGCAATAAAGCTTTTTAATCACCTGGGTGCAGGCGGGCTGAGTCCGCAATGGGAGATAGAGGTGGGACCGTTTTATAGGATTTGGGTTGGTAATGGAAAATTACAGTCAAAGGGGGTTATTCTCTGGCGGGCAGGGGTGGGGGTCACAAGGTGCTCAGTGGGGGAGGTTCTGAGCCAGGAGAGTGAATGTCACAAGGTAATGTCATCAGTTAAGGCAGGAACTGGCCATTTTCACTTCTTTTGTGATTCTTCACTTGCTTCAGGCCATTTTCACTTCTTTTGTGGTTCTTCACTTGCTTCAGGCCATGTGGATGTATACGTGCAGGTCACAGGGGATATGATGGCTTAGCTTGAAATCAGAGGCCTGACATTCAATCCCCTCAAGAGAACAGAATTTCTAAAAAAGGGAAGTGGGTGGGACTGAATTTTATTTTATTTTTTTCAGAACTTTAAAATGGAGAATGATTTTATGTGTTTGTT